CGTAGGCTTTGCCAGCAATGATCTCTGGCCTCAGCCGGTCAGCCAGCATCTCAAGATTCACGGAAATTTTATGAGTTGCTTTTTCTGTTAACAAAGGCTCAGAAAGGCTCATCTGATACACTGATGCATGTCTTTTCAACTCTTGGATTGACCTAGTATGTGGACTGCAGCTCGGCTCATTTCGTTTGGATACTGTTGGGGATTTCATGTCTCAGTTACGCCAAAGTGTTTTGGACTTTTTGACACCTTTTGACAAACAACATGTTCTCTGATAACATCTGATATCCAAGGTATCCAAGAACCTGCACTCTCATTCACATCTTCCAGCACAAGACTCGCAAGCTTTCTTGAAAGGGTCAAATGTATGTAAAGTTTCGCTTCCCGCCGTCTTCAATACCCATGGCAAACACCCTACTTCAACCTGCAAATGCTGAGACTCATGATGTGCTGACAAGAGTGTTGGGTGTGGTCCTCAAGATGTTCGGGATCAAAAAGGTCCCAATTCTCGCTGATATGCTGACGTTTACGTCTGCAAGTGCATCCATGGTAATCTACATGTTCTGCTATCGCATTGGAGGTTGTAGCTTGGATTCCTCTCGTCGATCGGTTTGAAGAAAAGCATTGAGAATGATAGACGCTGTGGATACATGGTAGATGAAAAATACCTCTTGACGCCATGACATGACCAAAGCCAAATAGGTTGGGTGGTCAAACGAACGGCTCTCTCGGAACCTACGCCGCCGCACGGAATACTGTAGAGGGATCGTCTGTTGGACTCTGAGACATCCACTAGTTGTCTTTTGGGGGGAACCCTCTTGCATTGGCGTGTTAAAGCCCATGGCACACTGCTATCAAGCCAACACCAGTGCTACAAAGATGCACGATGACCAGCTTTAAATTGGATTTCGCTGTTTACTGAAGCTGTGCCAAGCAAGCAACCTCTGAGACCAACACGCAAGCATGCACAGAGTTCCACAGAAGGTGTTGCGCGTGTCGTTCTGCATGGCCTGTATGATATGCCAGTATTGCATGTTAGATGCTATTCAAGTGAGCACGTGTCATACGTGTGCAACCACCCACTCAGCCTTTGCTGCCCAACCAAAGTCTGCAATCTTCACTGTCAAGTTGTCCTCAGCTTTTGCAGGTATGTCAAGATGCTTGCACAAAAATCTCCAGCACATGTTTTCTTGCCAAATTGCCCCAGCGAGTAAGACATTCTCGGGCTTGAGATCGCGATGTATGATCCTGACTGCACCATTATCGTCAAGAAATTCATGTTAGTTTTTTGACGGAGATTCCTTGGTTTGTTTGTTAGATGGACAGCTTTTAGACAGCTTTTGTTTTGCTTCTTATGATGACTCTATTTGCTTGTGGCGCAACTTTCACATGTGTTTGCAGAAAGTAGAGGCGTTCAAGCCTTTGCTTTCCAGCAAATGCGAGGCAACTGTGGCTGCAGCCCATTCTCATGCAAGTACTTGACACCTTCGCAGACCTGCGACTTTGCAAAGGTGAAAAGCATCTGTCAATGATCTCAGTCTAAAGACATGCGAATGTCTGCCAAATCCATAGACCCGCAGCATGAGCCTGCATGAAAACATAAGCAGCATCCGACTCCCTCAGCGGACCGTGTCTCTTCATCAGCCTCAGAACATCCGACACTTCTTCTATGTCCAGGTCCTATTTGCTGAAGGCAGCCAAAACGACGGGGGACCCCCCCAAAAAAGAATAGACGAATAACCGATTCGTTGGGGGAGACTTGGGTAGATTGAATTAGTTCTCCAGAGCCAGCCAGCCAGCCAGCCAACTTAAGCAAAGGCTTGTGGGGACCTCACTGATATAAATCGCCGCCAGAAGCCAGCTCCAAGACAATGTAGACCTGATGGAATGAATATGAATGAAGTCACTGGACAAGGTGAAGGTCACGACAAAGCTCATGATGATGCTGGGTTCCATGCCATGTCAGCCTCTACGAAGCAGTCAAAGCACCTGCACATATTCTTGGCTGAGAACCAGATACAGTATGCGTAAAGAAAACTGGCTATTGCCAGCTCAAATTTAGGTTAAAAACCTTGCACCTCAAAATGTTAGGATGCGACAACTTCATCTGAGTAGTTACCTCAGCAAGACCCAAGAATTCAGAAGGATGGCTGTCGAACTTGACTTGATGTCACAACCAGTGGCATTACCAAGTACAATCCATGTCTTTAAGAATGAGATACAGTAATAGTTGCCACATTAGAACAAAAAACACAATAGAACTTTGGCAACTTGGGCAGGGTCTTCAGCCACCAGCTGGTCCTGCAGCTTATGATCCTGTCGGCTTCGACATGGCAATGATTGAAACAAGCATGACTCAACCTTATCAAGAGCTTCACATATATATATATATATTACTATATTATATTACATTATATTATATTACATTATATTATATTATACTATATTATATTGTATTATATATATATGAGGAACCGTCAACACTCCTTATTCTTATTCAACCAAAACATGGACGTCATCGGTGTTGAATTGGACCTTAGCGTTTTACAGTGTTTTGGGTTCGCGCGTACTTATGGTTATATACAGCGCTGGGGTTATTATCGGTTTTGAGGTGGACCTTATCGTTCTGCAGGGTTTTGTGCACAAACCTACCCCTCTTTACTAAAGTGGTCTTCGCATGTTTTGACCGTAGCTCAAATAGAAAAAGACAGAGAGAGAGAGAGAGAGGGAGAGCAACGGGGAGAGAACAAGAAGGGGAGGTCAGTCTGGGCTGTGGCTGATTTGGACGCGGCTGTCCATGACCCGCTTCTTGTCCACAGCTTTCAATGCATAGACCTCAAACCAGAGGACTTGACTGAATTGATTTCAAAAAATACAGTGAGCAGTCTCACCTATTCTTTCCAGATCCAAGTCGCTTCTCCAGAAGTTCGATGCATGACCTTCTTGACAAGGCCCATACCTGAGAAAGTCAAAGCTTTTGTCAGAGGCCATAGATGCCTAAGCTCCCTCAAACTAGCTGTACGAGACGGTTCCAGAAAAGGATTGGAGCTGCATCTGTTCCCTGACAGACAAAGCTGTCACTGTCAATCTTGTATGGAGAAAATGCAAGAAACCTTCTTCACTGACTCGCCAATACTTGATACTGACTCGCCAATACTGTAATGGCTCATGCATCTCAATCTCATGGGATATCAGACTGGTACTGAGAGGCAAACATCCTTCGCCAAGATTGTTGAGGGGGACGAAATCGCCCCAAGAAAACCTGGCGCTCTTTGACCTCCTGACATCCATTGACATCCTACATATTTAGACCTTGCCCCTTGGCCATTCAAGTCTACAGTCCTAAGAGCAAACACAAATTGCATCCTGAAGCTGAAGTAGAGCCACTTGAGACTAAATAGCTGGCTGTGGGTCAAAACCTGGACCCCCGAAACCATGTCCCGTGTAATGACCCAGGATGTTTGTCTTCTCAAATGCAACAAACATCAAAAAACTATTCTAATCCTGAACGGAGAGAGATTGCATCACTGCCCCAGCTGCCTGCTTCGTGAACTCCAGGGTACCTCGGTGAAAATTGCTTATGAAAGCTTCTTGCATCATGCGTTTAACTGTGCGCTCCCTTTCAAGAAACATCTGAGAGGACGTCGTGTCCGATCTGAGGCCAGGACATCGCCATTCTGCGTGGCTGATTCCATGGCGGACCCTAGCTTATTGCATGTTGGGCAATAGAAAAAGTCTCATGATTTAGGTCGGAAACGCGGTGTGCGAATCGGGAAGGGGGGACAAAACATCAGGGGTTCTTGAATGGAAAAAGTCTACTGTAAGCATTCTCCATGTTGCAACAGGCTCGTGCCAAGTAGCTGCATCAAGCAGTCAAACCAATGCCCTTCCTGGACAAGACTTCCATCATGTGTTTTTGTGTTTGGATCTTTGTGCAACCTCTTCATATCGGATTCTATCCCTCACTGGCAGCTGCATCTTGAACTGACGTTCCGAAATTCCTCTCTAGAGTAGAGACTTCATTGGTTGCAAACAGACTTCGCGTGCGAAGCATCCTTAGTTCCTCGTGGGTACAACCTTCTTATTGGGATCGCTTCTTGACCGTTGCTTCCGCAGCGGAGCCTCCGGCAGCACCGTTCGGCAGCACCCTACTGCGCCAATTAGTATTCGTGACTAGTAGCGATGCGATGCAGCGATGCCCTTGCTACTAGTAGCGATGCCCTTGTTACTAGTAGCTCATGACTGTGGCATTAAAGCCACGCTTGAATTCTGCTCTCACAAAGGTCTTGTGCGAGACTTGTCCTGCCAAGAGGTAAGGGAAGCACAAGAGTCAGGTGTGTGCAGCACTCAGCACAGCGCCGATGTAAAGTAGAAGTGTCACCACTGTTACCCTCATGCTCAGTAGACAAGTGTACAATATATGTCTTAGAACATCTCTTTTCAGCCCGAAGTCACCAAGACTGTACACGGTGGGGAAGCTGAGACTTGAGACGCCATACAACGTCCACGTGAGACACCATGTGTTGGTGACCCGAACTGGAGAAACTTATCTTTAAAGCCTTTCTCTATGAATCCTCCGAGTGGGTCACAAGCAAATGGCGAATGTGGAACACCCTCCAAGCCCTTCAGCTTGCTGAACTGAAGCATAGAAGATCATAAGAACCAGGGTTTGCCATGCCGTGCTATACCAACAGTTGTTCGTCAGCCTGGTGATTGAAATACTGAAACAGAGCTGAGGCAACCCCGGAAGTAGCTGCAAAATCTTTAAAATACCAGCTAAGGCATTCTAAGGCATTGAAATTCAGAGCTCTGAACAGCACAGAATGCGCCGCTAGGGTGAGGCAGCGGACTGCCACATTCACATGGAGCCGCTCGCCAACAAACCCCGCGGACGCCAAGCCAGTGCAAGGTGATTAGCGTCCACAAATGTAGTACGCAGCGTAAAGCAGCTAGATATGTGTTCTATTTATTTGAAAGTATTGGTTTAATATACTCATCCCACCGAGAGCAAGAGTTGTTTGCCCGCCAGCAATCTTGGGGATGCGTAAACGCCGCTTGGGTGGAGAAGCAAAAGAACTCAGACATGCCCTGCTCTTTCTGGTTTGGGTATTAGGTACCCATCTTCTTTTGTAGACACCAATCTCCGGTCAGGTCTCTGAAAATTGAAATGTGCAAACTGCTCTGACCCAAAGCCTATCTTTTGGCCTCAATCGACAGGTCCACATCTGAAGGTGTGTAGTAGAGGCTTGCATTGCCTGCAGATCTTTGTCCACAAAAGTCACAAGCAAGGTAAACCCAGCGGCTGGAGCGTGCCCAACGATGACAAGTCAGAAAAATTATTTGCTAGATTGTCGCCAGTGTGTCAAGTCCTCATTGACTGTTCAGCAAAAGGCAAGGGACAAAAGTTATGTGCGGAATTGATCGGCAAAATGAATTCTCAGCCTTCGGAAATGGCACTCAAGGCTTCATTCTTCCGCAGGACCTGCCACAGCGCCATGCGGTCCTCCAGCTTGGGCACCTCCATTCCAAAAGCATAGAAGGTCGACAAAGAGACAAATCTAAAGAACGGCAGGCTGTTGCCTGTGTTGCTGAAGGTTACCGAGATGTACAAAAAATAGACATGTACATAATGCTCCAATATCTCGGGAATTCATGGGAACTCGAGATGATACGAGCGCAACAAGAACAAAACAGCAATAAATTTCAAGAATACAGGATCTTTGGTGATACACACGCACCGGGTCAGTTGGAGACCAAACCACCAACAGGTGTTCCGCGACACAATGTTGGCCCTGTTGTACCATTGTGGATATGCTGTGCACCTTGGCTTCAAGGCCTGCAATGAATGCTGCCACTTTGTTGGCTTCGGCTCTTCCAACGACTTCTGCCTCAGCCTCCGAATGCTGGTGCTTGATGGCCTTGGCTCATTGGCCAAATTTTTGACAGTGCACTATGGAAGTCTTGCAAAAAAGCTGAGCGTTCCAATCAAAGAATGGCCCTCTTCTGAGTCATTGGCTAGAAGGTCTCCGTTCAAGCGCTCTTGCTCAATCTGCCCTTGTGTCCGGAAAAGACTAACCTGGCATTCATGGGCAAACCGCCGTCAGTCTGAGGTGGACAGCACAGGCAGAGCACCTCGTTTTCACTCTCAGCTTGTGAAAGACGGTTCATTCGGTTGGTCGTCTCCTAGGCAGGCAAAATTGATACGTGGCATTCTTTCTCAAATTCAAGCCTCTCAAATGGAAATCGCAAAAGAAAAACATGAGTCAGCCAAGCTCAATGTGACAAGTAAAAGATAGCCTCCCAACCTAAAGCCCGTCCTGAATGATCTGTTCCAGAATTTCAGAAGTTCTGGAGTCGGCACATTGATAGCGAGTTACTTCCAGTGAATGGATCTTCACCCCTCTTGAAGCATAGAAGCCCGTGTCTTCCTGCAGCTTGGCTCATAGCTCATCGGGACACAAATCCGCTCTTGTTCGAAACATGAAGCCGTCTACGGAACTGCGCCTCCCAGACCTTCTTGGCGATCGAGTGCGAGCTGTCCATAAACTCTTTTAATGTGACACGGGCCACGTGTCGAATGAACTGCGACCTTGCATGATTGCAAAGGTCGCCAGAGGTGTCGCCTGTGCTTTTCACCATTGCTGGAAGATCAACAACCTCCCAGAAGAAGGTCCCCTCAAGGATGAGCTCCACGTTGTCGGATGTTCTGCAATTGAACTCCTACAAGTTGTTACGCATTCCCAAACAAGGACACTTGAAGTACACCTTTTCCAAAAAGAGCTAATATGTTCAGACCTCCTCCCTGCAACAAAAATTCATGAAGACAGTGGAAACGAACTGTCAGACTGTCAGACCGTGCAGCTGGGAGCAAACTTGAGCAAACCAAGGCTATTGTATCTCTTTGTAGCTAAAAGCTACTAGTAACAAGGGCATTACCATTAGTAGCTAGAAGCTACTAGTAACAAGGGCATCGCTACTGGTGACAAGGTATTACTATTAATTAGTAGCTAGAAGCTACTAGTAACAAGGGCATCGCTACTAGGGCATCGCTACTACTAACAAGCGCATTACTAATAGTAGCTAGAAGCTACTGGTAACAAGGGCATCGCTAGTAGTAACAATGGCATTACTATTTGTAGCTACAAGCTACCAGTAACGGGGGCACCGCTACTAGTAACAAGGGCATGACTAATAGTAGGTAGAAACTACTAGTAACAAGGGCATCGCTACTAGTAACAAGGGCATTACTACTAGTAGCTACTAGTAACAAGGGCATTACTATTAGATACTATTAGTAGCTAGAAGCTACTAGTAACAAGGGCATCGCTATTAGTAACAATGCATTACTATTAGTAGCTAGACGCTCCTAGCAACAAAGGCATCGCTACTAGAAACAAGGGCATCGCTACTAGTAACAAGAGCATTACTATTGGTAGCTAGAAGCTACTAGTAACAGGGGCATTACTACTAGGAGCTACAAGCTACTAGCAACAAGGGCACGGCAGCAAAAAACAAACGCTTTACTACTAGTAGCTACAAGCTACTAGTAACAAGGGCATCGCTACTAGTAACAAGGGCATTACTATTAGTAGCTAGAAGCTACCAGTAACAAGGGCATTACTATTCGTAGCTAGAAGCTACTAGTAACAAGAGCATCGCTACTAGTAACAAGGGCAGTACCATTAGTAGCTAGAAGCTACTAGTAACAAGGGCAGCGCTACTAGTAACAAGGGCAATTCTATTAGTAGCTAGAAGCTACTGGTAACAAGGGCAACGCTACTAGTACGGGCATGACTACTAGGAGCTAGAAGCTACTAGTAACCAGGGCATCGCTACTAGTATCAAGGGCAATACTATTGGTAGCTAGAAGCTACTAGTAACAAGCGCATTACTATTAGTAGCTAGAAGCTACTAGTAACAAACGCATTACTATGAAATTATAGCTAGAAGCTACTAACAGGGGCATCGCTACTAGTAACAAGTGCATTGCCATTAGTAGCTAGGAGCAACTAGTAACAAGGGCATCGCTACTAGTAACAAGGGCCTTACTACAAGCAGCTAGAAGCTACTAGCAACAAGGGCATTGATACTAGTAACAAGGGCATTACTATCAGTAGCTACAAGCTACTAGTAACAAGGCCATCGCTACTGGTAACAAGGGCATGACTATTAGTAGCTAGAAGCTCCTAGTAACACAGGGCATTGCTACTAGTAGCAAGGACATTACTAGTAGTAGGTAGAAGCTACTAGTAACAAGGGCATCGCTACTAGTGACAAGGACATTACTTACAGTAGCTAGAAGCTACTAGTAACAAGGGCATCGCTACTAGTAACAAGGGCATTACCATTAGTAGCTAGAAGCTACTAGTAACAAGGGCATTACTATTAGTAGCTAGAAGCTACTAGTAACAAGGGCATCGCTACTAGTAACAAGGGCATTACTATTAGTAGCTAGAAGCTACTAGTAACAAGGGCATCGCTACTACTAACAAGGGCATTACTATTAGTAGCTAGAAGCTACTAGTAACAAGGGCATCCCTACTAGTAACACAGGCATTACTATTAGTAGCTAGAAGCTACTAGTAACAAGGGCATCGCTACTAGTAACAAGGGCATTACTATTAGTAGCTAGAAGCTACTAGTAACAAGGGCATCACTACTAGTAACAGGGGCATTACTATTAGTAGCTAGAAGCTACTATATAGTAACAAGGGCATCGGTACTAGTCTCAAGGGCAATACTATTAGTAGCTAGAAGCTACTGGTAACAAGGGCATTACTATTAGTAGCTAGAAGCGACTAGTAACAAGGGCATCGCTACTAGTAACAAGGGCATTACTATTAGTAGCTAGAAGCTACTGGTAACAAGTGCATTACTATTAGTAGCTAGAGGCTACTAGTAACAAAGGCATCCCTACTAGTAACAAGAGGGCATTACCATTATTAGTAGCTAGCTAGAAGCTACTTGTTTGCTCTGCAGCCAGGAGTCGAAGGACATGAACTGAGCTCTACAATCAAATCGCTCGATGAACAGGTTTCGAGTCTCTCTGCGCCGGCCCTTGCTCCAGCAGAGCTTGACAATTTCGGCATAAGGTTCCAAGAAAAAGGCACGTGGCTGTCCTGGTCTACTTGTAGCAAGTGCATCGCTACTAGTAACAAGTGCATCGCTACTAGTAGCTAGAAGCTATATACTAGTAACAAGGTTATATACTATAACGCAAGCACCAAAGCTGCCACATATGATAATATAATGTTTCTTTCCCATACACTACGGATGTCTGTGGAGCAAATCATAGCAAATCTGCATCTCACTGATGCAACGCGGCTGTCCTGCTGGTCTTTTTTCATCACTACCGTAGAAGTATTGGAACTCGCCTTGCTTGTTTTTCACCTTGGCTGGAGTTCTTGTTGGCAATAAACAAATCTCAGGAAAATTCCCTGTCCAGTTTATGGAGCCCAGCTTGAAATGTGTTTGGATACCCTTTTCCAACGAGCTTGGTGCCACTTTGCACCTCCCCTAACTGTGGAATTGCAATGGCCCTGCCAATGGTGAGTTCTGTTGAAGCAACATTGCTGAATGTACTCAAATAATCTTTAAAGAAATATCATCCGGCCTTCCGTTTTTGCATTAATCACTGCTCGACTCATCATTGTTGGAGGAGGATGAAAATGAGGCGTCTTGGCCTTTCTCAACTTGAGCACAAAAGCCTTTGTTTGTGATTTGCTCCGCTCCTTTCGTCTAGACTCCTCTCCAGCTTTGGCACCTCTTCTGAAAGTCGTGTGAGGTCTTCTAGCATAGCTTGTCGTATTCCTGTTTTGGGTCTCTGAAGCGGTTGTGGGGTTGTCATCCGGTTATATCCAGTTGCTTGAAAGCTTGGAACTAAAGCACAGCAAATGCAGAAAGACCTTCGACAAAACTCATGAGGCAGTCACAACCGTCTTTTAAAGGGGGGTAGGCCGAGATAGGTAGTAGCTAGAGGTAGCTAGTAGTAGCTAGGTAGCTTCTAGTAACTGGACGCAGGATAGCTCACGCTCGCACTATTCGTTTGGTTCCTAAATTTTGAGGGAAAAATTGAAAACTGAAAACAAACAAATAGGGTCATATAAGTTTGCCAGTGCATGTCTATACCACGTTCATCTTTGGCCGACTTTTTCGCCGATGTAGTACAGTATACTTTGAATTATTTGATGTGTTTTATTATTGCCTCTTTGCAGGTTTGCCAGGTATGCATGCGTCTTGGTTGCTCCGACTCGTGCACATGTCATATACTGAGGCCCGTACAATCAATGCTTCATGGTCAGCCAGTTTGATCAACTCTTGCACCTTCCTTGGCTCACCGGTGCAACATCGTAAGTTCGAGGTCCTCGATACCATTTTTCCACGACATCTGGGCTAGTGCAGCCCTTGTATTGCTATTGCGATGCTCAAAAAAGAGAAGAAGTTGTTGATTAAGAAGGGGAGGTTACTTAATCCTGTGTCAACATTAGCCTTTCGAACACATGTTGCTTCTAGTCCTGTGTCCGAACAGTGAGTTCCAAATCACAAGACAAAGCGAAAAATAGAAACATGTGTGTAATATTGCATCAAACTCCATTGAATCACGTCGAGCCAACAAGCCCCTCTGCTTGCTATGTTCCCTCCTCTTTGGGAAGGAATGACGAAGAATCCCCTCTCTGGAATACCCGGGGACTGGTATTTTTATGTTTCCTCTACATCCATCTGGATATATATTATATATATACATAGTTTTTGTTGCTGGGTCTCTCAATTGATTCATTTGGGCCAGGAATGAAGAGTTGCTTCTCTGTGACCAGCCGCACCTGCCACAGGGTTCCCGCTTGAAACTAAGTTATATAGTATATATATAGGCATATAGGGCACTCATATTTCATTGAACCACCTTTTGTTTCATACAGGTGCACCTGCCCCGAGCTCTTGTCGCGAACCAGCACTGCGTGTTCACCATCAACTTCGACTGCCTCTGGATGATGCTGAGACACAGCAAAACTCCGCATTATTCCGATTCCATATTATTCCATGGCATTCTCAGGCATTGTTTACTCTGCGCAATCGAATCTACTTGAGTTTATCACAGGGGTGATGTAAGGTGATGCAGGCTGGCCTTCTTCTTTCCATTGTCCAACACCTTGTCGTGAGGACCAAGGAAGACCTGCTTGCTGGTTCCATTGCTGCCAGATTCAACTCGAATTGTGCCAGTCGACTGGTCCAAGATCTTGACATACTCATGGACCTTTGCCACGCTTAAGCATTCAGGGACGAACAAGACTCATAGACTTGCTTGGTTGTGTGACTCCAAACAACACCTCAGATAAAATACAGTAAAGCAATTGGCGTGAAAGGAAGCACACTTGCTTGTTGGGGAGATTGTGAAAAGCTTTTCTAGTGAAGAAGTCTTTCTGGCTGCTGTGATCAAGGGCACTTTCAGATCAATCAATTGCATCACCTGTCCATCTAAGAGCTCATCATCAGGTCCTGGAAAAACCGTTTGCTCCCCACGATGAGACTCGACCTGCAAGTCCGGCATTGGATTGTGCTAGTGGCGTTCCACAAAACCTTTGTCTTTTTACCCCAGGGGTAGGCCAAGAGAAGAGAGGTAGCTAGTAAGCTAGTAGAGGTAACTAGTAGCTACTAATTAGTACGCTACTAGCATGGACGCAGGATAGCTCATGCTAATGATTTGGTTCCTAGATTTTTAGGGAAACTTGCTCCTAGCTACTTTTACTGTCGAACGCTCCATTTCCTCTTTCACAGCCACACGAGACTGAATATGAAATATAGTTACAGGAAGCCACTCTGCGTTCATATCTTCAGATCTCCTTTAGGTAGGTTTGCAAGTACAACATCCAAGACTTCTCAACTGTGCACTCTGCTGGGCCTTCAGCTTGGGCCTCCCCAAGGGCGAAAATGTTTCGGCGGGATTTCTCTTGAAGAGCGGTTCTTTTTGGATGAGGATTCCTTCAGAAAAGTTAATGAAAAGGGAACAAGGATAGCAAGAAATGAAGGAAAGAAAGCTGGTGCAAGGGTGTGACGCAAAGGAAAGAAACTGGCACGACCTTTCATTGATATATTTTGTGTGGGAAAGGAAATCTAAGAGGAAAGGAGGGAGGGAGGGAGGGAAGGAAGGAAGGAAGGAAAGAAAGAAAGAAAGCTGGTGCAGGGTGTCACGCTCAAAAACATCAAATTTTGCGGCTGCCAGGAACTGGCAAGTATTTTGCAAATGCTGTGGCAGGGAGGAGGGTAGTTGGGGGAGGGCGCAGCGCTTCCCCAATAACACACAAAGCATTTTAGGAAGCTTCTGGAAGCCACCAAATCCACCAAAGGCATCCGAAGGCCAAAACCGGAAGCCACCAAGAGGGCCTCCGCAAGCCATCAGATACCACCAAAAACTGCTAAAGGCACAGAGATCCACGACTAAGAAAGGGAACAGAATACCTTTGCAGCAGATGAAAGTATACCCCCTCCACAAATCACAAAGGGCGAAACTGGATTTTTGGAAGTCACGCAAACTGACGACACCTGACAGCTCCAAGACAACATTGGTGCCTTTCCGGTGACTTTGTTCATGAGTCTTAGGTACTCGTAGGATTTCAGCGCCTTGGATTGGATATCAAAGCATCGAAACTACAAGACTACAGTCAAAACCAAATGCCACAAGTGTTGGCAAAAGCTTGGAGCTGACAGTGCTCCGGTCGAAATACAGCTTGATCCCTTGCTCCAAGGAACCCAGGCTTTGCATACACCTCCTTCCACTTGCCAAGTCGGCTCTGGAAACACCAAGGCCTTCCCCTTTTGCACCCATTTCTTTCCAGATGACCTCAGTCATGACCAGCCAGCCACTCTATCTCTCTATCTGTCTTTTGAGTCAACAAGTGGCAGCTCGAATTCATATGCACGCATATTGCATCTTGCCAGCCACAAACCAACATTGTAGGCAACAGTCAGCTTGAACACTTGACTTGACCTGTTGGTGGGAGTGTGAGAGAGCTGAAGCTTGAAGCAGCATCCTGAGCATGCGACGTATCTTTGACCTTGACGTACTCGTCTTCTTGCAGAGCAATTGCAGTCAATTTGCTGCCACTTCGTTCAAAGGGTCCAGGAAACCAAACCATAGGACCCTTCACTGTCGACTTTTCACCAGTCAGCTGGTCCTACAGCGGGAAAGAGACAAGGTACACTGCGTTGGGTGATTTTGGAACCTGCAGCTGCAGCGGCACAACTAAACATTATTAACACAATTGGAGAATCGGTTGTTTACAATGTACGGCCCGTGCCCTTCTCATCTTACATCCGACTTGCCAATGTTACGTGTACTGCACAAAGCTGTCACTGCACAGTCCTCCACGATCAAGTACTCAGTGCGGCTCAGGCTGACTGCATTTCCTCTCTTAGCATCTTCGTGTGGCCCTGGGAACCACATGCAGGGGCCTTTTATGACACAGCGCTCGCCAGTGAGCATATCCTTGACAAGCACGTATTCAGTACTTCCAAGACCTTGGATTGGCCATAGGGTGGTGCCTTTCATAGAGCACAAATTCATTGTGAATTCTCGGCGCCAGGCACATTGTGTGCCGACATGAAGTGCAGCATATCAGAAAAGGAATGCCACATTTTCCGAGTGACTTAAGCCTTGTGACCGCTCCACAAACTGCTCGTAGGGAGCCAGGAACAAGAGCTGTGGTCCTTTCTCTATTCGCTCCTTTCCTTCCACCACATGGCGCACCTTCACATAATCCATAGTCCCGAGAGTTTCAGCCTTTCTGATAGTTGCTGATCGGTGTGTAAATGGATTCAGGAAAAATGTGCCCGGACCATTGTGAACATCCATCCCAGTGAAGCCTTCAACGAGAAGCTGCTCATCTTGGCCCAGAAAGTGTACAGAGCGTTGGCCCACCGCAGCACAAGCCATCAGAAGACCTTGGCAGTCAAATGAATAGATTCGATGGAATGAACCTTGTGCAGTCGATCGAAAATGCAAGCTACTTCAACTTGAGATTTGATGAGGAAGACGCAATATTTGCAGCAGGTTGGTGCTTTCCCTCATACAGGTTTCTTACTCAAGGAATGAAAAGACAGTTGTCGGCACCTTGACGCGATGCTCTCTGATGCCTTGCAGGATTTGCAAGCATACATGCTCTACAATGACAAAGTCTCAACTACTGGTTCATGCTTAGGGTGGTTCACCACCAAGGCACCACAAGAGAGGAGAATCAAGACGAACAAACTCATCGAAATGAGTTGGAAGCTGGCTGCACCACCCGCGGCTGCAAGGCCCACAACGAGAATCGTGGGTGTCAAAGGGATTTGCGGCATGGCAAAAAGAGTCTGTCAGTGCTCTGACTGATCAAATACCACGCCTTTGACCTTGAAATGACTGCAGCAAGTGATAGGCGCCTCTTCTACTACGGTCGAACAGTTGAGCGAGTTCGGACGGACCAATATTATTCTGTGTCTTGTCAAAGTGTCAAAATATCTACTGTATGTCTATATATAATATGTCTTTTTTGGACCAAGGTTCTGTGTTCGCATTGCTAGCAGAAAGCTCGTCGACCATCAAAATAGCATGGGGAAATGGTCCTTTTTCCCACTACAAGCTCGAGCGAAAGTGGAGCAAGGAGCCAAAGTGCTCTCTCTTTAAATGCAGCCACGATTCTGGTATGTGGCCCAAGTGCAAATCTCAAAAGGCGTGACGGTGGTGGGAAGCAAAGCTGAATTCGGAACTCAAGCAATGCACCACACATGGCGCAGCACCTAGCTCAGTCTCAAATTAGGCCGTCCTGCAGTTTCAGGAGCAGTCTCATTCCAGCCGCGACCCAAACCGTGCAGTCAAAGTCAGCAGGATCTCTGATTCTTACATAGAATGCCTCTACGCCTAATTAAGCATATATTACAATAGTCCGTATTTATTCATGATGTTCTTCACACACATCAGAAAGGGAAAGGAACATGGAAACATAGAACAAAGGAGTGCATGTAGTCTGGACTTAGAGGATCGCAGAGGGCTTTACTTTAAAGCAAACATTCTAACCCAACCTGACTGTACCTGGTCAACCGTATGGAGCTTCATTCGCGACAGACATACAGCAACCCTGTCGCCCCCTGTCAAACATAGTTGACCGTTTTTGCCTGGGTGTTCACGCGCACGCATCAATTCATGCGAATATTCAATCATTAGTCACAGTCTTTAGCAACGGTTCTGGCCACGGTTTACAGAAAAGAGTTCATTTTCCGGAGCAAGATAGTACAATTGAATAAATGCTGCGAACAAGACTTTGAGTTCAATACCGAATGCTTTGAAGGAGATTTTTGGGGGGGCTCACAGGCCTCTGGACTGGAACCTAAACGCGCAGTGCAGATCCTTCGTTCAGCATGGCGCTTCAAAAGTAAAGTGAGTAAAGGTGAGTAGGCAAATTTGTGCCAGATTGGCAGGGCCAATTTGGGAAATTGAAACCTGACGAGTGTACGCCGCAAGGGCAGAAAAATGAGGTCAAAATGCTCCAAGGCCTGCAAGGCTGGTTATCTGGTCAGCTCTTGACTTTGTATTTATACTTGTATCTCCAAACTCTTCATCTATTCTTTAACCAGGCACCACGTGTGCAGCCATGCAGGAGGAAAGGAACCTATATGTAACCCCAAATCCTTGCGAAAGGACGGGTCAAGTTGGAAGATTGCCGGCCTTCCTGATCCAAAGATCCAGACAGGAAGTCACGTCAGTGACTCATGCACAAGACGCAGCACCTGAGTCACGATGCTGCGTGCAAGCATAGGCTGGATGCGACCGAACACCAACGCATCAGATTGGGGAAGCGGTCAATTCCCCAGCTACGTCTCAACGCTTTAAAAATGCCTGAAACGCCCAAGACTGCAACCTAGCAGCACGCGGCATCTGATCCAAAGCCGTCCTGTCAAAGAAGTGTAGCAGACTCTTGGGAAATCTGAATCGGCACTGGTGTCCTTGACACCAATTGCCAAGACCTGTGGCGTGTCACCTGATCTTTTGAACGGTGTACTGCAGCTCCTTTGCAAAGCCCTGAATCAAAAAATGTTTCATGCAGCATGGATCCGCGGGCAAATGAGCTTGAGCGTGTTTGGTTGACAAGCCAAAGTACTAAACTATGAACAACAAGAATGCAAAGCATGTGTGTAATACAATACAATATCTAAATACATCTATATATGATGTACATACATGTAATACTCTTCAATCATACTTGCGGGCATGATCCGTCCCCCAACACCCGTTGCCAGTGGCCGGAATGCCATGATTGTATCGGTGGCTTCACTGAGACGGTTGTATACCCCGATGATAGATTCTCAGCTGAAAAGGACTGAAATGCAAAGCAAACACAACTCTTTGTGTTTTTGTATTGCGCGTACTTACTTAAGGGACAAACTTGTCAGCTCCTGGCTAGGACGCAGGATAGCTCACGCCAATGATTTGGTTCCTAGATTGTTAGGGAAACTTAACTCCACAGTTCTGAAATGCAGTAGAACTTGAAACAAACGCAACGTCCAGTCCATCTTTCCGGTGGAGAGAAGCTGCAGTCTTTGCGCTACGCAGCGGCCCTGTCAAAGGTTCTGCCACGCTCTGCAAGGCAAACAACACCCCAAATTTCAACCAGGTGTCCCGTTATCTGCCAGACCAGTGACACACCATCCTATATATGTGAGGTGCCTCCAAATGTGGTGCGATCTGAGAGTGTGCAATTGCGATACCAGATTCCGAAATCGGGGCGGGTGGCCATGTTACTTGATTATTCGGTCTAAACAAAACATGATTGCAATCTCCCAAAAAATGGGAACTTGGCTGTCGACATGCACTGGTTATTGGAGCATCTCAACTCTTTCCATGCTTCATCGTGTTGGTCAGTGCCTTGGCATGGAGGGAGCCAAGCACAACATGTTAACTCACAATAAAGAATGAAATGGCTGCAATCTTCCTGATCAGCCTCGACTGTCGAGTTGAACTGCAAACACAACATATACATGTGATACCATCAAAATTTGCTGTCAGAATTGCACACCCGTACTGCCCCTAGAGTTGTCTCCCAAGGATGTGTGATCTCACCCGATGCCTCACTTCCTGGCCAAACCTTTGCTGGAGTCTTGTCTTTGGTGTTCTTCACCTCCAAAGGAAAAAGGAACTCTCTCACATTCCTAGGAAATTTATGCAAGTAAGGTTTACAACAACTGCTGAAGTATGTGTGTGTGGCGTTTGCCTTCATTAAAACCGTCCCTCTGTGTTGCATTTGTTCGTCTAAGAATTATGTTTTGTATAGTATAGTACGGCGATAAGAGACCCGATGCACATGACACAGCACAACGTGGTCCTCCCAAACAATTTTTGTGACGCGGGAGTGAGCCTCATGTAGGGCTTTGAGTTTCTTTGTCAAGCGTCCAACAAGATCTCCCGAAGCAGACCTGACTGACTAGATCTGACAGCGGCTCACCTTTCAGAAGTTGCGATATATATATATATATATAGATAGATAGATGATCTTTGTGTATGCAAGCTTATTGAAAGTACTGTAGATCGACGTTGGCATCTCAATGCGTGTGAGTTTCGAAGGTCTGATATCGCCATGAGACCGCACAGGAACCCCTCAACCCAAATCCTTTACTCTGCTCATTCAACTTCAATTATGACCTTGTTGATATAGTCTATACCTGAGAAGGGAGGGGACGAAAGCCAGCCTCTGGCTTAGGGGATGCTCTCAGGGTAGGCCCGGGCAAAGACTTGGCGTGCAAGAGGAGGTGATGGGGTAACATCGGGCAAAGAGTAATGTCATGGGGCGAAGTTGACATCGCAGCCACACCGATGAAGACATAGGTCTGGGGGGGGCCCTTTTCGCTCCGGTTCCGGGAGGAGTTGGAGGTGAAAAAGGGCACCCCTCAGGAAGTGAGACGCGCTTGCCGGCGGCGTGTTGCGAATCAGTGAGCAGAGACGGCGGTGGGGGTTCATGTGCGAGGCAATGGGTAGGGTAGGTGAGGATAGATATATATATATATATACCCGTGTGTGTGTGTATAGGTAGAGTCAGTGGACAAAGAGTAGCCGGAAGTGGTGAGGTTGATATTGGAGTGACTTGAGCGCGCAAGATGAAGTGATAGGCTCACATTACGTTTATGGGGTGAAGTTGGCATCGCAGGTACGCGAGAGGAGGTAGAAACAGACGGTAGAAGTAAAAGGGGGGGCGCCCTTTTTCGTCCTCGTTCAGGAATGTTTTGGAGGTGAAAAAGGGCACCCTCAAAGATTTTATGTGAGTTCGTCAGTGCGTGTTGGTAATGAGTGACCAGAGACGGTCGTGGGCGAGGCTATCGGTAGGCTTTCGTGAGGACATATATATACATGTAAATAGGCAGAGTGGACAAGGAGGAGCTGGAAGTGGTGAAGTGGATATGGCCGTCGGTCGAAAAAGAATGGAAGGAGAAAGTGGAATACAGAGGTTTCGGATGGGTGCCCCTTAGCGTCTCGATGTCGGGGCGTTGTGGAGGGGAAAGAGGGCACCCTTGTAGTCGGGGGAAGGTTGGGTATGGTGCGTTGGTCTATGTTTCAAGCGAGTTGACGGCTGGCTTTCGTTGTTCTCATTTAAGCTTGGAATGTAGTTTGGAGTAAGTGGTATGGTTTCCAGCAACAGCTGGCCACTTCAAATGGCGCCAATCTGCTAACCTCTGTGGTATGGACGCAACGTGGAATGTCAACAGTACAAAATAGTTCAATAATTGTACAAGATGACACATGTGACTTGTACAGCAAGGAGATTGCACAAATTCAAGACAATGGTCCATTGAACTCCCACCGCATAGGGGGTGCCCCGGAAGGTCCTGAATAGCTTACGGGCGCCCTTTTCCATTCGCAGCAAGGTCTAGTTGGCACACCCCACATGGGGTGCATGCGCCATCTGTTGAGGGCTTGCGAGAGAACCGGGCACTCCCTATGGTTGCTGGCCTGAAAAGGGCACCCCACATAGGGCGCATGATGCTATCTGTTCAGGGCCTGCGAGAGAAGCGAACTGAAGAGGGCACTCCCCATGTGTGGGGAATGGAAGGTTGTTGAAAGCAGGAGAGAGAAGAGATTGCAGTGGGCAAGTGGGCCAGCGTTTGAGGCGGAAGGTCCTGAATAGCTTCGGGGCACCCTCTTTAATGCGTAGCAAGGGCGAGTTGCTGGACTGAAAAGGGCCCCCCACATGGGGCGCATGATGCCATCTGTTGATCTGTTGAGGGCCTGCGAGAGAACCGGATTGAAGAGGGCGCTCCCTATGTGGTGGGGTTGGGGGTAGGAGAGAGAAACAATTGCAGCGGGCAAGCGTTGGAGACAGAAGGTTCTGAATAGCGCAGGGGTGCGCTTTTTTTTCCGTAGCAAGGTCTAGTTGCTGGAGTGAAAAGGGCAGCGGGGTGCATGATGTGTTGAGGGCCTGCGAGAGATTCAAACTGAAGAGGGCACCCCCTATCTGGCGGGTGGGAGTTCACGTGGATTGGGGGTTAGGGCCGGGCAGGAGAGAGAAGAGATTGCAGTGGGCAAGCGTTGGAGGCGGAAGGCCCTGAATAGCTTAGGGGTGCCCTTTTAAATCGTGCAAGGTCTAGTTGCTGGACTGAAAAGGGCACTCCACATGGGGTGCATGATGCCATCTGTTGAGGGCCTGCGGGAGAACTGGACTGAAGAGGGCACTGGGTTGGGGGCAGGAGAGAGAAGAGATTGCAGCGGGCAAGCGTTGGAGACAGAAGGTTCTGAATAGCTTAGGGGTGCCCTTTTTTACCCGTAGCAAGGTCTAGTTGCTGGACTGAAAAGTGGGGTGCATGATGCCATCTGTTCAGGGCCTGCGAGAGAACCGAACTGAAGAGGGCACTGTCCATGTGGTGGGAGTTCACAAGGAAGTTGTTGAAGGCAGGAGAGAGAAGAGATTGCAGCGGGCAAGCGTTGGAGGCGGAAGGTCCTGAATAACTTAGGGTATTCGTAGCAAGGTCGAGTTGCTGGACTGAAAAGGGCACCCCAGATGGGGTGCATGATGCCATCTGTTGAGGGCTTGCGAGAGAACCGGACTGAAGAGGGCACTCCCTATGTGGTGGGGTTGGGGGCAGGAGAGAGAAGCGGCAAGCGTTGGAAACAGAAGTTTCTGAATAGGGGAGGGGTGTTTTTTTGTCCGTAGCAAGGTCCAGTTGCTGGACTGAAAAGGGCACCCCACATGGGGTGCATGATGCCGTTTGTTCAGGGCCTGCGACAAAACCGAACTGCTCCCCATGTGGTGGGAGTCGGAACCCCAACTCACGTGAACTCCCACCGCATCGGGAGCGCCCTCTTCAGTCCGACAGCAACGCTAAGCATAGCCGCAACTGCAATCTGTTCTCTTTCCATGGCCTCCTGAGCCCCTCGCGGTGCTGATGATGCACACTTCGCCGTCAATTACATCACCGGCATCACAACACCCCTCAAACCACTCATTTGTCACTACCAAGCGGCCCACCTCTTTTTGTCGCTCTCCCCCACCAGGCTCTGGGTTCACCTCTCCAAAATTGGCCACCGCGCAACCACCCCCCCACACCCCCTTTACTCACTTCGTTCGCTCCAACAACCTCAAGCCCAGCCTACCGGCTGGCTTTCGTGATATATATATATATATATGGTGTATATATATATATAATCTGTCTGGATTTGATTTGCCACTCGCCTCGCAGGAAGGCTTGACAATGAGCGTGAGGCTGTGAGATTCCTCCAACATATGCAAGAAGCAAAGCACTTCCTATGCAAAATGCATCCCGTTTCTACTAAGCAATCAAGTTGGCAACGGGATAAAATATAATCACTTAGACTTGGATGTACACTGCAGCTGTCAAGTGGAAGAATGTGTTCTGCTTCTGCAACTCTGCAACTCTCAATTTAAAAAGAGATGGAAAAAAGAAGGTCAGGGCCCCTTTGAGTAGAGGGGGCCTGATTGAAGGGCCTCTTACCTTCATTGTTTCATCTAGTTTGAACAACAAAACGATATGCCAGGCATACCATTAATGGCTTACCACTGGATGCTCAACGCAAGTTCCTGACGTCCCCAAGCCTCTGAGGCGTTGCATGCACCGAAGCATTAGCATTCGGTACGAAAATTTTGTTCAGGAGTTCTTCTTGTGAAGTTGCATTCCTGAGCGTCCATCCACTGTCAAGATTACAAAGCCAACAATAATCACAAGCAGTGTGCTCATCAACATACTCAGAGAATGTATGATTATCATTTAATCAGAACAGAAGCGCGGCGATGGACATGCTCTGCAGCAAAGCTTCTCCAGCAAGAGATGGCCAGTTCCTGGCTTCAAGGGTGCTGGAGGTTCTAAGCCTTCAGCTTCTGCTCGAAGATTTTCTCGATACCACTCTGCTGCTCGCGTGAGGTATTTTTGCCGCAAGGGCATATCTTTCGGCACGTGCTGGGACATGAAGTCGTGGAAACGCTGGTTTCCTGGCATCGTCGCATCTCTGGGGCATGGCTACCATATGTATCCATATGTCAATTTGCAAAAAAGCTTTCGAGCTTAAATTAACTGTTATGTTTCCTCCTCAGCACTCTCTTCAGCAAATGTTTGAAAATCCCAAAGGCACTCCTCCAAGTTGCATCATCTTGAGGTGCTCGGGTTTCCAACTATCTAAGCTTGTGGACAAAACGAAGCTTCGTTTCACCCCCAAACTTCGATGTACTCCAGCAGCTTCTATGCTGATGTAGATGCCGTGAGACACCGATGCCCATTCTGCTTTTGACCCCACGCTGTCGCAGCACTTTGCATTTGCTTCTTCCGCTTGGTGCTTCTGGAAGAATTTCGAGGCCACAGGATCAACTGCCATCTGCAAGACCCAAGAAGTGTCTCTGAGAGTAGCTTAGGTCCAAAAATGTAGGTATAGAAACATAAAGAATTTATGACAGAAAACCTATGTATATATATATAGATATTAATATACACTGATATATATATATATATATGTGCACTGTGCACATATGTGTCAGTTTAAGCAGTCCCGACTTTGTCTATATCACCATATGTCTACAAAGGTCATCTGGATTCAATACATGCCCCCACATTGGATTAGCTTGGTGCCTTGCATCTTCAATGCTCACACCTTTGGGTGTTTATATGAGCCCTCCACAGCGGAGCAAATGCAGGTTTAATATGGTTTGATCATCCAAAAGAATGCCTAAGCTAACTCCAGGCAGCCATGTAGCTGGAGTACGTCCCAGTTGAACTATGGATTGCGATTGCGAGTTCTGCAATTCTGAGAATGACTAAATGAAGCATAGACTCCCTGCCAGACTTTTGACTCCTGAGGTCCGAGGGCTGTTGAAGCCCTGGTGAGACAAATAGGATCATGATGGGCAGGAGCCAGCGAGACGTTTCGGAAACTAATGGGCAACAATAAGTGTATGCTATATATTACATATATCATCAAAGCCCAGCACTCAACACCTATAGCAGCATCTAGAACATCCGTCAAACCAAGTGGATGTACCCCGTCTTATGAAAAAGGGTTGATACAGGAGCTGGACACTAATTCAATCAAACCACATCCGCGGCATGGAGAAATCCAAGCAAGCACACGTGAGTTCAATCTTTCAATTAACTCTCTGACTCACAAACCCAATCCAGGTTGATGCCGCGTCTTAAGCTGCGTCGGCAGCTGCACATGCATCTCGACATGGGACATCATGACCCCACGAATGAGCAGTGGCCATGCACTGGCCAAAACCCTAACGTTTTGTACTATCAGCCGTGCTGTGCAAAGCATTGCATTGCGCTGCCTCGTCACAAGCTGTGGCCACTGCTTCAAATCCGCTCCTGCAAACGCTTTGAGACAGTTCGAAGCTTGGTGTAAACCTTCCCAGGAGCACTGCCCAGGATCAAGTTGCAAATAGAGTCCCGCGCTAATCGGATGTTTGCAAACGAGCCCAGGATGTGGATCTTGTCTTCACACAAAGAAATGCGCGTGCGAGTAGCATTTTCTATTGCATACCTGGCTTGAGCTTGCTTTGGGCTCACAAAAAGGGTGTAATTAGGTGTAAGATTAACAAAATGTTCTGTCTTTCACCAACTCAAAGCATCAAGATCATGCGACTATATTATGTTACTTCCATATTTTCTATAATTATCCTAGTTGTTCATATGTCCTTGTATTCCGCATCAAAGGTTTTCTACCAGGCCGCTTGGTTTTTCCATCCTTGCCCGCAATACGGCCAATACACCGGGAGAGGTGGTCACCCTGCAAACGCTTCACATCCTTCACCTCGAAGGACTGGATGAACAAATCGTCCAGGCGAAGAAGCGCAACTGCATCAGCTTGGTCAAAGCCCAGCATGAAGGCTTTCCTGAAAAAGGAAAGGAAACAAAAAGGTCTTACCTCCAAAGCGGCTAGGAACAAAGAAGAACATAAAATACATTCAAGTCTAGAATGAAGCCTTGCAGGAACCTGGTACCCAGCGAGTCCAGTGAGGTCAGGTCATCTCTGCATCTGCTGCTTGGCAGCAGTGCCAACAAATTGTGTATATTATATATAAATATATATATACATGCCTACCTTCCGCTCTAAAAAAGCACAGCAGGCACCCTTTTTCAGGGATGCCTCAAGGTTGCTACCTGAGGCGCTGCAGGCCTCCACAACGGTACCTTGACCGGTAAATAGGCGTGAAACCTTTTGCAACCCACTGCTGCACACACGCAAGCTCTCAAGAGAGGTTGGCTTTTCGCCTCAAGAGGCCTCACTGTCCCAAGCCGCGCCCAGTGGCCCAAGCACACCCGCAAAGGGGGTGACAAGGGGTGGCGGAGGGAAGCCAAAAATCTGGAGCGAGTCGTCGACATAGTATCGTTGCTCCACAAACTATGTTTGTTTCGACATCACTCACTGCAATGTCTACCTTGCGCTCCAATAAGCACAGCAGGCTTTTTTCAGGGGCGCTTCAACATTGCTATCTGAGCACTGCAGGCCTCACAACGGTACCTTGACCGGCCCTGCCTTTCTGGCGTAGCCGCAAACCCTCCAGCCTCCAAAGCCAGATACGCGTGCGCTGGAGAGCTGTGAAATGCACCTGCGCCAGTTTAGCGGCGCCCTCGTCGATGTACTGCTTGGCTGTATTGTTGCAGCTCCGCCACTGTGGCATCTAGGCTCAGGGACGATTGGAAACACCAAGTGGCCCCACCTCGTCTCAAGCTGTAAGGTGAGTAGTCGTCCGAAGCAAATCGCAGTCAAAAGGCCGCCAAAGTAGGCCCGAAACTGTGGACCACGATCTGACGTCGGTCGTTGCGCAGTTGATCAAAGGTTCATCAAGGACCAGAACATCTGGGGATTGCCTTGCGAAGGCTTGCTGCCGGGATGATGACACTCATCCCTTTGCTGCGCTATGAGCCACCACATGACAGTGGGTAAGAGCCAACGCAAGCAGCAATGCAAAAGTTGTTTGCTCTTGGCTTAAGATGGCCGAACCCCTAATAAGACAGGAGATTAGCAAAGTTCCATTTCTATGGAAAAAGTTCATTTTTGTATTGAAAAAAGTTCAACCAAACATAGAGTGTTCCAAAAAAAGTTCAAGCAAACCTAGAAGGGTTGGAAAAAAGTTCAAGCAAACCTAGAACAGTCCCAAAAAAAGTTCAAGCAAACCTAGAAGGGTTCAAAAAAAGTTCAAGCAAACCTAGAAAGGTTTTTAAAAAGTTCAAACAAACCTAGAAGGGTTAAAAAAAAAAGTTCAAGCAAGCCTAGAAGGGTTAAAAAAAAAGGTTCAAGCAAACCTAGAAGGGTCCAAAAAAAAGTTCAAGCAAACCTAGAAGGGTTCCAAAAAAGTTCAAGCAAACCTAGAAGGGTTCAAAAAAAAGTTCAAGCAAACCTAGAAGGGTTCAAAAAAAGTCAAGCAAACCTAGAAGGATTCCAAAAAAGTTACAGCAAACCTAGAAGGGTTAAAAAGAGTTCAAGCAAACCTAGAAGGGTTCCAAAAAAGCTCAGGCAAACCTAGAAGGGTTAAAAAAAGTCAATCAAACCTAGACGGGTTCCAAAAGAAGTTCAAGCAAACCTAGAAGGGTTATCCAAAAAAATGTTCAAGCAAACCTAGAAGGGTTCCAAAACAGATCGAAGCACGCCTGGAAGGGCTTTAGAAAAGTTCAAGCAAACCTAGAATGGTTCAAAAAGTTCAAGCAAACCTAGAAGGGTTCCAAAAAGTTTCAATCAAACCTAAGACGGTTGAAAAGAGTTCAAGCAAACCTAGAAGGGTTCCAAAAAAGCTCAGACAAACCTAGAAGGGTTATTTAAAAAATGTTCAAGCAAACCTAGAAGGGTTCAAAAAAGGTTTAATCAAACCTGCAGTAGAAGGGTTTTAAAAATCAAACAAACCTAGAAGGGTTCCAAAAAAGGTACAGCAAACCTAGAAGGGCTCAAAAAATCAAACAAATCTAGAAGGGTTGAAGAATTTAAGCAAACCTAGACTTCTATACTAAAATTCATCTAAATTTTAAACTAAACTGACGGACGGACGGAAGGAAGGAAGGAAGGAAGAAAGGAAGGACGGAGGGAGGGAAGGAAGGAGGGGAACTGGAGGCAGCGAGCTTGAGGAAGGTAAGTGGAGGAAGCGAACTGGAGGGAAGGGAACTGGAGGCAGGCAGGTGGAGGAAGGGAACTGGAGGCAAGGAACTGGAGGAAGAGAGCTGGAGGAAGGGAACTGGAGGCAGGGAGCTGGAGGAAGGGAACTGGAGGCAGGGAACTGGGAGAAGGAACTGCAGCCGGGATCTGGAGAAGGAACTGGAGGCAGGGAGGAAGGGAAACTGGAGGAAGGGAGCTGGAGGAAGGGGACTGGAGGCAGGGAACTGGAGGAAGAGAGCTGGAGGAAGGGAACTGGAAGGCAGGGAGCTGGAGGAAGGGAACTGGAGGCAGGGAACTGGAGGAAGGGAACTGCAGGCCGGGATCTGGAGAAGGAACTGGAGGCAGGGAGCTGGAGGAAGGGAACTGGCAAAACTGTTGACGGAGATGGGGGTGGCGGGTGGTGGGTAGTAGGCACGAAACTGGACGAAGGCGGAGGTGGAGCTGGCCGAAGAGAAGTGGGGGGCAGACAGGGAACTGGACGATGAGTTCGGGCAAGGGAACTTGAGGAAGGGAACTGGCGGAAGGGAAATCGAATTCCTGCTGCTGCACTGTGCGTGCGCTGCCTGACCGTGCGATGTGTGAAAAAAAATGTTGCACCAGTGTTTCTGCGAGAACTCTCGAAGTACCAGAAGTTGGGTCCAAGGTGCCTCGATCTTTGTCCAAAATTTTGGGGCAAATTTGGGCGAGTTTTGGCCGAGGAAACGGCGAGGGTTTGGCGACACTTTAGCGAGACTTTAGCAAGACTTTGGCGACACTTTCGCGAGCTTTGGTCGAACTTTTGTTGAGCTTTCCTCACGCTACTTCTGCGCGAACTGTCGAGGTACAAAAAGTTGGATCAAAACTGCCTCGATCTTTGTCCAAAAATGTTTGGGTAGATTTAGGCGAATTTTGGCCGAGGAAACGGCGAGACTTTAGCGAGGGTTTGGCGAGGGTTTGGCTGAGGGTTTGATGACTCAGCTTGCCGCACCTCTTATTAGGTCAACTGCTTTGTACACGTGCAAAACTATGGCTGTAAACAAAACGCTGCCCGATTTTTTCACATGTTTAAGACTTAGGGTTGAAGTCGGGAACTACACTACACCTGTCCGCCTGGCAGCGCAAGCAAAACTATGCCCGCGCCGTCAGCTAGTCAACACCAGTGAAGTAAAACTGGAGGAAGGGAAATGGAGGTAGGGACCTCTCAAGGACGGGACCTGGAGGAAGGGAACTGGAAGCAGGAAAGGAGGCAGGGA